GCACCCTGAAACTTCAGTGACATGAATGGGTGCACAAACACCCATTTGTTTGGTGTGTATCCAACTTTCTGTCAGTCTTACTGATTTTTAAAAAGGTTTTTGAAGTGAACTAAAGAATTCCCCTTTCTAGAACAATATTAGAACACTTGTTCCCCAAATATAATACCCAAAATATTAAAGGGGCCTGTGAATAATTGTAATTGACAAAGCTTCCCCGTACATCCATGTTTGATAATTCTTTACACAAAATGACTGGAATTGACTTGGGTAGCCCTTCATCTGAAGTATTCAGGCACACGATATATCCACACTGACTGCATCTGTGAACATGTAATGTTTTTCTGATCTATAATAACCAGAGAATTTTGCTATGAGAATGGTATTTTGGTCCCTTACATCATTATCTAACAAATTAAAACTTTATAAGTATCTTTCTGCATGTTGGTCATCTTTCATGATGAATTTTCTGAAATTATTTTCACATTGATAAGTATTATTTTCTTCTTTTAAATTTGACCCCTACACCCATCCCAGAAAATAATAATTGTTACTACCTCTGGGGTAGTAACAGAGGTACTAAAGACTAAGTTAAGTCTTTGGCCCAAAGACTAAAACAGATAGTTACCAGACCCAGCACTTAGCACAAAACAAACAGTCAGTATTAGCTTAAACTATTGTAAAAATACTTCTGCCTAAGACAAATTATTCACAAAAGAGGTTCTGAAATAATTTTCATAGTACATCTTTTTCTCTTCAAAGAAAACATTTTGAACCATTTCTTAATGATGGTAACTTCTTCTCTAAGAGTGGCAGACATTATTGGAATTCATGACATCTGAGCCCTGTATTTATGTTAAGTATGTGCATGTATGACGTGATGGTAAACAAATTTTGGCTAAATGTGACTGAATAAAAAGTAAATGTACACTCTCTTTCCAAACATAATAATATTCCAGAATTATTTCAATCACATTCATTTTTCAAAATCCTGTAAAGAAAATAACTAAGGAAGTGCCAGTAAGTGTATCTCTTCATAGGGTGTCTCTGTGATTTATACTTTTTGGTGAAATGTGTTTGACTAGGTGGCTTTTCATTTCACAGTAAAAATCTGAAGTCTTTACACATACGCCCACAGAGCCTCCGTGGTCTGAGCACACTTTCACAGTCTAGTTTTCCCTTCCTGACACCAGTCACGCCGGCCTCCACACTACACTTTACCCAAGGAGCTTTTTATTGGCTTCCCCCCTGCCTGCAGTGTTCTTCCTTAATAAACCTATAAGGCCAACTTCCTCACCTCATCTTGTCAACGCAGCCCTACCCATTCACTGTAATTACTATAGTGAAATTACTACACCTCTTCATCTCCTTTACACTGTCCTACTTTTTTGTCTTCTTTGAAATACTTTTTGACATTACTTCCCGATAAGTGAATTAAGGCATGGACAACACAACATTAGGTTCCAAAGGCAGAGGCTGATTTCTGTCTGTTGAACAATCATATTCTTCACCAAAAGTGCCTTTGTCCCTATAATCATCCAGCTGTCAATTTCTTTGCCACACTTTCCAAAGAAAACCACATTGACAGAGAGGAAAATATGTATGTATATGGAGTAAATGGTGTTAAGATGCTACACTTTGGATTTAAAGAGCCCCTTTCTTCCAAAAAGTTTGTTTTGCACCAGAACGTATAAACTCATTCTTCTTGTCTCTGTCTCTGGTTGGTCTGAATAACCCCATTTATTAATGAAGACCAGAGCTGGAAAGGTAAAATGGCTTACACACAATCACAGAGATAGTTGGGAGAGCACCCAAAGGTTCTCTTTGTTCAATAACGTTCCCTGCGGAGCTTCGTTGGAGACTGTCATTATAATAAGTTGTCACCTCATCTTGGTTCATACCCAATGGCAAAGGAAATGAAGAGATAAATTTAAAACTTAACCGGGCTTTTCTATTTTATAACTTGTGGCACCTTTCAATCTGCAGATAGAAAATATCTTTAGAGGATGAGAACGTGAACAAAAGGGTTTCAGACCTTAACTGAAACAATATTATAAGTCTCTGACTCAGTCTTAGAGAGTGAGCATATTTTAAAATAGCTGTAATTAAATATTATGACTACGAAAGGAACATTAATTCTTATAGCGGGTGAAAATAATGCAGTCGCATGTAGCGTGAGTGGAGGCAGGGGAGAGAGCCGTCTAATTTTGGTCTACTGGAACTGGTATAGATCTTTCTTCTAACTTAGCAGAAAGGTAGTTTTAGGAGCATAGTGGCGGCTTCCCTTTCTGCTTGGAGATTTCAAGTCAAAGGTAGCTGGGCCAGTTTAATATGCAGGCCTGCCTGTGACTAATCCAGGCAGTTGTTAATTCGGCCCTTGCTGATGCTGCCACCATGCATGGCTCTGAGTGGCCACTGGTGCTTGGGGTGTATATTCCTTCACTTTGTTTTGAAATAGTTTCAGATCTTCTGAAAATGAAAGAACTTGCGTATTCAGGGGCCTTTTTTTGCATCCTCAGATAAGTTGCATTGTTGTGGGGGCTGAGAAAGTCAGGAAGTGTAGATGTCTTCTCATTGGATCATGTAGCTTATTTCCTCTTTTCCCTCTTCAGTGCCAATTGTTCAAACTTCAAGAAAAATTTAATTTCTTCTTTTTGAACCCAATAATATTCTTTAAGCTACACCAGAGTTCTGATTTTTCTCATGGTAAAGAAAGAGAATCTAAAAGAGGAAGAGAAATACAAGAAATAACATATTTGTTAGTTTTAAATGTGGTTGCTCATTTTTTGCCAGTGTAATTTCAAATTGTTAAAAGCATTGAAATATATTTATTTAATGAGTTCATATGCCTGAAAACTAAAATTAGATGTTTGAAAGAAAATGAGGAAATAAGTCTCATTTTTTCCCCTTATCCAGAACATTGGAAATTAAGGAAAACTGTTTACTGGATCATTTTAGTCTTGCTAATGGAACTTATTTTTCTCTGAGTTTGGTTTCTCCATCAATTATTCAGAGACTGAAATATATTATACTGTAATGTTCAATCTCATGTATCTTCTAATTGTATGTCATTATCAGAGGAAAGATGAGATTTTCTTGTGTCTTCACCAGACCCTCTCCCCACCAGCCTGCCCCCCATATACTAGAAATGCCTAACTTGGATAATCATTGTTTAAAGTCACGTTCCTAAAGTCTGAAGGTCTTGTTGTTCGGAGTGCTTTGCAAAGCTGGTTGTTTAAATTCAGTGCTTTGTGCCGTTGCCGTGAATTTTAGCTAATTATACTGCCATTTTTTAGAAGTCATGTGTGCCTAATTCTGAAAATGGCTTTGTGCGTTAAGGCTCATTTAACCACTGATGGTTAGAGAGAAGTTGAGGGACTTACAGTTATTGGTCGTAATTTTAAAACAGTGATAGCATGGGACTTTCTTGTACTGCAGGCATATAAGACGCTATGCTATGTTGGCAACCTCTTAGTCATTAGGAATGTTGCAATTTGGCTTATGTCTTACTGGTCAAGATGTCACACAGAGGATATGTTTATTCATGGAAAGAAAATCAGTGTCCAGCATGCAAAGATGGTAATAGGGTAAGCACTTCCAACTGGATTTTCATAGGAAGGATTGATTTGTGTGCATTACTAGGTCTGTGTAAAATGGTGTCCTTTTGGCACTAGCTGAATATAAATTTCAGTAAATGTTTTTTTCCTTGCTGCAGATTAGTGTAATACAGTGAAATTTTCTGTAACTGAGGGGAGGCAGTGGTTGGGCGTCTGCTAATAGCCTGAAAGTAACTAATGAGGATGTGCAGTCGGAACGATTGATTGAATAGCTGCAGTCCTGTGTGTTTCTTTCTCGCTTGCTCTCCCTGCAAGCTGTAGAGAGGGAGGGGGAAGAGCAAGACACAGGGAGGGAGCGAGAGAAAAAACGCTTTCTCTTAAGTGGAAGTAGCACGGATCCCAGGGGCCAGGAGGCCAGAAATGGAAGTTTAAACTGCATCTATCTTTTAAAGGGAGACCAGCAGGAATCAAAATGTCAGTCTCCGGAGTCACGATTTACTCCTTATTTTTTAAGATCTGGAAGATAATACAGAGTACTTTTTTTAGGATGTGTTTTTTTTTCTTGTCCATGTTGAGATTATCTAATGTTATCTGAGAAGCTGGATTCCTATATGTCTGTCAGTTGAAGTGGAGATGGGAAGCAGTTGTGATAAAGGTATAATATGTATATATCTATCATCTGTGTGTGCGTGTGTATGTGCATATATATATGCATATATTTATATCACTCTGAAAAAATTTTTTAAATGTAACCTTAATATAGTGTACAGTAATTAAATTAAAAAATATCACATCATCTGCAAAATCCGAAGCTTGTTAGGTCAGTTTGAACAGATTTAGGATTCCAGAGTAAGATCTTAGTAAGGTCATATTGCCAGCACAAGGAGAAGCTGATCTATTTTTATATCTGCATAGGCATATATGTTATTTTATCCTAGCAGCAGCTTTCAGTCGCCTCATGGCCCTTTGCTTGCAGTCTGGTGAATCATCTTATCTGCACAGAACTGAACTCTGACCTTTGTGCAGACACCATCGAATCATGTGCAATACAAGACTATATTTTGTTCACAAGAATACCAAAATTGTCTTTGGATTCTATTAACTCCTGTATTGCTGACAGATAGAGAAGTATATTCATGCACTATGAGATGCAAATATTAAGTGAATTTTAGATATTAAACATAGATCAGAAAAAAATTACTTTTTATCTGTGCACAGATAAAATTCTAATCTGTCGTGCTAAAGCAGATTCTTAAATGTGACCAGGTCTCCCTAGTGTCTTGATAGTTCGAACACAGAGATAAAGAGATAAATCACGTGGAGATAGAATGTAGTATGCCTTTAAAGCAAACTGACTTTTTTGTGGGGGAGAAAACCCCGATAATTTTACATTGTAGTCAAAGATCCTAAATTTTGGCTTCTTAATGATGTTTCTTTCTTTTCCAGAGGTGCCGGCAGAAAGGTCCCCCCGCAGACGGAGTATCTCAGGGACCAGTACATCGCAGAAACCCAATTCCATGGATACTGTAAATACCTCACCTTTCAAAGTACCAGTAAGTGTTCCTCTTCTCTAAAAGATATTGTACTTTTCTCTCCTTTCTTTTTCGAGTTAGAGACAGTTACTAAGGAATCCACACACTTTGCTCAAGAATTTCTTTATGATACTGAAGTTAAAGGACACAGTTATTAACTTATATAGATTAACTGTGGTTAATGTCCACTACTTTCAGTAGAGGGTTTATTAGATTGTAGGGAATAATTATTAAATTCAAATTCCTCTGACCTACAGAGCACAAATCTTTGCAGGATGCCCTTTTATGAAGTTACTAGCAAAAATCTGTTACCTTTCTGTAAAGATGCTGGTGGGATTTTTTTTTTCCACAAGTGGGAAGAGATTTTTGGTTTTTTGGTATTTGTTTCTCTTGAGCTGGAGCATAAACAGTGAATGATGGGACTCATAAAATTGCAGAGCAGATTATCAGAGAATTAGACCATTATAAGTTATAATCCTGAGACCTGGCCTGTGCTTTGCTTAAGCCATCTTTTGGATGACCATCTAAGTGCTTAAGAAACACCCTGGAAGAAATAACCGAGTTTAAAATATTCCTTAAACTGACAAGGCAGCACTAAGAGTCTGTATTAAATACTGAAAGCTGAGATCAGAAGGCTGTCCATGATCAGGTCAGCTGACCACCAGTTGCAGTCCTCTTCTGTATCTTTTTGATATAACTCTGAGTAACCCAAATTTTAATCCATCCGTTTTCTTGGCTTATTTAATAAGAAGTGTACTGCCTAATTATTTAATTACAATGTGTTGTTTTTAAACTTGGAAAGAATAACTGCCATGAAGCTGGTCATTATTGTAGGTACAATGGAAAACAGTATAAAGTAGAAGTAGACTTTTCTATTGGAAACAAAAGAGATTATTTTCTTTTAATTCAGCTAAGTTAATATGTTGTATTCTTTTTTTATATATTCCACTACTTTTTTTTTTTTAAGTTGGAATAAGTTTGTAAGTTGAACTGCTGTTTTGAGATCTATAAGCTGGCATTCATTTGTCAGTTAACCAACATGAATGTTTTATTTTGGATTAACTGTGAGGAGCAAGATTTCCCTTTATTGTCTCTCAGTGCCTTGTGGAGTTTGTGAATATCTGTTACTGTGACACCTTCCAAATGTTTACCAATTCTCTCAGTTTTAAAGATCACAAGCAAGATTGGATTAATATTCAAACAATATTATGACGGGAATTATTAACTATCAGATTTCATTCCTTTTACTAAATTTCTTTCTCCCATAGACATAGCTTCCCACTTAAATGTTTGGGTTTTTTTAATGAATGAAAAAGGCATTTTTCCCCCTCTCCTCCCTCCCCTTCTTGTCTTCCTGATGAAACCGAAATCAAATATAGTGAAACTGACTGTCCATACACAGTGTTTGGTGAAAAGGATTGGATTAGAATTTGAAATTTTCATACCAGCCTACTAGAATAGAATGGTTAATTCTTTTTTTTTTAATTTTTTTTTTCTTTTTTATTTCTAGGAGAGAGAGAGAGAGAGAGAGAGCGTGAGCAGGGGAGGGTCAGAGAGAGAGGGAGTCACAGACTGAAACAGGCTCCAGGCTCTGAGCTGTCAGTCAGCACAGAGCCCGACGCGGGGCTCGAACCCACGAACCACGAGATCATGACCCAAGCGAAAGTCGGACGCTCAACCGACTAAGCCACCCAGGCGCCCCTAGAATGGTTAATTCTTAATTTTTTTAAGGTCAATAAGTGAAGAAAAATATCCTTCTATAATATAGTAACATTTAAGTACTTCTATTGAATCTGAAGTTCATGACTGGACTTTTTAAATTTGAATTAATTAAGAACAAGAATTTTCATTTATATTTAAATAGTTGATAGCTAATTTGAGGTTTACCTTAATCATAATACTAATTATTCTTGAGTAAAAGTAATAAACCAATGATGCATATACATGACTGTGAGCACTCCTTACAGACCATTTATTCAGTTGTTATTCTTCTGACAGCCTCAGCCATCTCACAGATTAAGAACTATTGAAGGAAAGAAGGGGCCTCTGACTGGCAAACTTCAGTTACAAAGCCCATGCACTTAGCTCTCTAGGAGAATTTAACTATTCGTAAGTTCTTACCCAGACAGTTATTTGAAAAATGACCATCAGAACACATTGATTGTAATTTTTGAAAAAATGAAGTGAGTTGAGGGAGGAGGCAGAGGAAATGAAAAGCAAGGAGTCATAAAAACAACCTAAAACCACTTAGGCTAAAGGCAGATAGCCCTGTATTACCAGTAGCCCTCAAGAGTGCCCTTGTATTACAGGACACATTGAGCGTAGTGAAGTAATTGACATTGATGATAATGATCCTGAATCACTAAGAAGTGAAATTATATCTTTTGTGCTGGGCTTTTTTTTTTTTTTTTAATAAGTGTAACTGTGCAATATTGTGATATGTATCCATTGAGAATATTTTAAATCTTAAAGATATCTGATGCCTATAAAACTTGCTATCCAGAAAAATCTGGCTTGTGAAATACCTTTTTCTATGATGATGCTGGATGAATAATTTATATTCTCTTAAAAGAAACCAAAATATGCTGGCTAAAAGAGGCAGTGCAGTACTCAGATGTCTCTGCAAGTACACTGTATGTTTTAAGTTTCCATATAATACCAATAGCTAATGAAAGTGAGTTAAATGTAGTGCCAGTAAGAATTATGTCTAACTTTTTCAGAGCAACACGGAATACTTTTGTAATTAATATCACAGTGAAGTCTGCATATGAGAAAGCAGTAAGTAAGTAAGAAGGAACCAAACTTTGAGACACTTAACTAAGTTACTAATATAGTATCCCATGCTATTAATATGATTGTTTCCATGGAAATGATCCATGGTCACTCTCTGAAGGGGCAGAAGTGACATTTAAGCACAAGTACTTGTGGTTGCAGGATTCAGGTGTCTTTACTATGGTGAACAGCAGGTTCACGACTTATCAGGTGGATTCTCCAAAGGGCCTGTTCTTCCTAGCTTCATTTTGAAGCAAATACTGAGAGCAGATGAGTAGTTTTTAGCAAGCCTTGACTGAAATTACTGACAGTGACACACTTACTGAATGGTTGCTTCAGGCAAAGTATTAGTGATTCACCAATTATTGATACTTTCTTGGCACTAGGTTATAGACACAGAAATGAACGCAACAGAATTTTCCACTCCCATAGAATTTATAGTCTAATAGTAAGAGACAGAAAAATGACCAGATTCATAAGGAAGTAGATAAGCGTGGTGACACAGATTTTTAACAATGCATTGTGTGAGCTAAGGCTTTTCCGGGGAGCCAGCGCTTGAGCTGTTTCAAAGACTGAATGAAAATAATTGACGGGAAGAAGAGTATCCCAGGCGGAGGCAATCGCATTTGAGAAAGACACACTTCATAAAGTGACTGAGGCTTCCAGGGAATATAGAAAGGGTTCAGTGAGCAGGAACCAAAAAGCATGTGGGCAAAAATGGCAAGAGAGAAGGATGAAGAGGTAGATTGGGGCAAGACTGGGAATGTTTGTTTGTCAAGCTTAACTCAATTTGGCTGGCCACTAAAGCATTAGATTTTGTTTTCTGAAATATTTATCTTGGCTCAAAAGCTAAACCAAAAAGGAGCTAGTCATGGATTCTCCAGAAGGGCCTTCTTCCCAGCTCCATTTGTGTAAATACTCTGAAGTATCGGCAGATTACTTGACTCTTCCCCAAGTGACTCTTTCCTCTTGCGATCAGTATCCTAACTCAGGGCGACAGGTAAGGGACTGCCTGCCATTCAAGAAGAGAAAGCCAGCCCCGCACCCACCCTAGGCGCCAGCCCCGCACCCACCCTAGGCGCCAGCCCTGCACCCACCCCAGGCTATCAGCCTGCCTGGCCAGTGGCTGTAGAGCAGAGGTTAGCTTTAGAGAGATCAGGAGAAGCAAGTGGGTAAGAGTCACTTGTATCCTGCTCACTGCTGCTAGAGGTGGTAGAAAGGAGCCAGGAAACAAAGATTGCAAGGAGCCCAAAGCAGGGAAGCCCATAACCTTTGCCTATCTTTCTCATTCCCCAAAATGTATATTTTTATAATCTTAAAACAGTCTCTTCATGTGTATTCCTTACTTAGTCTAAGCCATCTTTATGCCAGTAGTAGACTGCAGAGTCAGTAAGTTGAAAAGTAAAAATAAACAGAAGAGGGGAACTTATATGGCCACTGAGCCTATAGGTAAAGCAAGGTCTTGATATTTAGGAATTTTTAGTGCATTTGTACTTTTATCTAATCTTAATCATAAGAAAAAGCAGAAATCTACAGGATCGTCTTCCTGTTTCTTCTGTTCATTCCATATTTCTTTACATTCATTCCTGTCATTCCATATTTCTTTACCTTCATTCCAACTGCAGTTGTTTATTTCTAGATCCGTCACCCCCATTAGACAATAAATATCTCCTCTCATCTTTGTAATTACCTCAATGCCTAACATACTACCTTGCACACAGTAAGCACTCAACAAATAATTGTTTAATGGATAAGATATGTATGAATTACTGAATGACCATAGTCAAGTGAGTATCTCACATTTACTCTGTTAGTATTACTGATGATATCTCAGTCAAATGGGCTACCCAACCATTTAATAATAACCAAGCGAGGCACCTGGGTGGCTCAGTTGGTTAAGCGTCCAATTTCGGCTCAGATCGTGATCTCACGGTTTGTGGGTTCGAGCCCCACTGCTTCAGACTCTGTGTCTCCCTCTCTCTCTGCCCCTCCCCCATTCATGCTCTGTTTCTCTTTGTCTCAATAATAAATAAACATAAATTTTTAAAAAAAATAATAACCAAGCAGTCATCTGGAGTAAATGTGTGTACCTGTGCAAAATAGTTACATTTTTTTTTCTTCAACTAAGAGAGATTTTTATATTTGGAATCTAGGGCTATGGTATTTTATGAATATAGTGTATAGTGTATCTACTTACACTGGGAAGTAAAACTAGATAGTATCCTTCAATGGTTTGTTTCTGTGGATAA